GGGATTCGAGTTCCTCCCTTTGTTCGCGTGTGAGAATCCGGGTGACATGTTGGTCTAAGTAGGCTTGAGTCTTCGTTTGTCTCCTGTGCGTCTCCTCGGTTGTCCTGTCCGGTGCAATGTTGTAGAGCTTGGCATAGTAATCTCGGAATTCCCCGACTATCTTGTCAGGTACTTGTGTAATGAGACCGCTATGCGACCTGATTTTAGTTATATGGCTCTGGCGGCGTTTCTGCTGCAACATTCTGGCGAGCAGTCGGCCACACTTATTGGAGAACTCGTAGAAGTGGCGATTGGATTTCCGCAGTGAGTGTGAGAGTTGTTTAGACAGTTGGTGTTGTAGTGCCCGTCGTGCGTCTAATAGTGCCCTGTATACTTCCTCCGAGTCTGTAGCTTTGTGGTCTTGGTCTAACTGGGCGACCCGCGCATGGAGGTCCGTTAGGAGCCTGCGCGACTCCTTCTTTCGCGCTGTGCCAACCTTGATGAAGTGTCCCCGGATTACGCACTTGTGTGCTTCCCAGCGGGTCAGGTGTGACGTCTCTGTGGCATCGTTTTCATTGAAGTATTGACGGAGAACCGTCTTGGCATCCGCCAGGATGACTGCATCTGCTAGCAGTTGGTCATTTAGCTTCCATTGCCGGCGTGTGGGCTTGTGCAGGGGGGACGCCATGACGGCCAGAACCGGGGAGTGATCAGACCAGGTGGCCGGAAGGATCTCACATGAGTGCAACAGGTGGAGGTACTCTTGGGAGACAAAGATGTAGTCTAGTCTGCTGTGTCCTCGGTGTACTGGGGAATAGTAGGAATAATCTCTCGTGTCTGGGTGAAGGACCCTCCAGCCGTCCGCGAGCCCTGCTGATCGAAGTGCCGTCTGGGAGACCCGAAGGCAGGTTGCCGACAGTGAGCTGCCCCCCCTCGAGGTGTCCATGCGGGGGTCCATGGGGACGTTAAGGTCACCCGCGAGGATCAGGAGCCCCTCCCTGAAACCCTCAAGCAGCCGTGCTATTTTCGTGAGGAAGCGATGTTGTTTGGTATTAGGTGCGTACACAGAGGCGAAGGTGTATCGCCGGTCTGCTATCGTGCCTTTAATGAATAAGTAGCGTCAGTTCGGGTCGGCCAGTTCCACCAGGCAGTTGAAGCGCACGGTGCTGGCGAAGAGGATAGCCACTCCTGCTTTCTTGGCGTCTCTGTGGTTGGCGAAGAACCCCGTGGGGAACCTCCGATCCCGGAGGGCCGGAGCCTCTTTCCCCTGAAAATGGGTCTCCTGGAGAAATGCGACCGATGCCCGAGCCGCCCACAGGGCTCTCAGCAGATGTGACCTCCGTTCCGGCGTATTTAGGCCCCTGACATTGTTGGACCAAAGGCGAAGGGGCGCCGGGGCGAACCCCCCAGCTCCCTGGGCGGACATGGAGGCCAGAGCGGCGTCCCGGGGGCCGAGGGGGGAAGCGCGGGCAAGGGCGAGGACCCGGTGGGGGGAAGGGGAGGGGCGCCGGGGGAAACCCGGATGTGTTCGCCTAACGCAGGAGGCCAACGTATGGGGCGGTGTCCTCTGGTCGCGGGCGCGCGGCGGGGCAGTAGCCCCTGAGGTCAAAGGGTTGTGAGCAAAACTAGATAAACAAACACAACAATAAAACTATGTACAAAAGCAGACTTGACTGTCTAGTTGGGTGAATCCGGTCTGGGTGTCCCGTCCCTTAAATTAACCACCCACCTGGTCCCCCGTCCTAGTGTGTGTTACAGTCTGTCTATGGGTGCGTGTGTGGCCCAGAGCGGGCAGGAGTGGAGGATGGGTGTGTCCCTAAATGAGAGCTACTAGTCCTGTCTCAATATAGGTCCCCCGTGTCCTCTCCCCTGGCCCTCGTCGATTGTCTACAGCCATTCTGTGCTAAGGTGCGGTCCGGGTGGGGGATACATAGGTCTAGATCCCATTTCGTCTGGGCCTCCCCCTGCGCAGTAAAACCTAGGGGCAATGTCAAGCGTATGTGGTCATCTCGAGCCCGTCCCCACAAGCCCTCTCCGTGCCAGGGCCCACCCCCCCGGCCGGGTCCCCCCCCCCCAGCCGTGGACCCCCCCAGCCCCCACTCAACCAGACCCCCCACCCCGCTCCCAGAGTCCCCCCAGGAGCCGTCCAAATAAACATCCCCTCCCCAGCAGCCCCAAAGGCCCAAACCCGGGCTGGAGCTAACCTTCGGTCCTATTCTAACCGAGGAGAAAGGGAAACACCAGGGGGCATGGCCACTTTGGAAGCGAAAAAAAAAAAGAAGGGGGGGGGGAGGGGGGGCACGGCCGGGGCATCCCCCATGCACGGTGAGTGTGGCAACAGATGGCAGTATGGTTGCCCCGGCCGGGATGGGAGAAGAGTCGGTGGCGGCCGGAGATCAGTGTCCGCAAATGTCTCAGAGACAGCTTCGTCCTCCCTCCCCACCTAGGCTACCTAATCCCGCTATGGGCAGCCTCACCCTCCAACCCAGGACCCACCAAGTACCTCGTGGTCCGGCTGAATCCGGGCCACACGGGCTCCTGCGCACCATTACTCCTCAGCTCCGCTCGGGCCACCCCACATCCGGGGTGACCGGGCTTCTTCTCTCCGTGTCGGCGGCGGGCGGTCCTCCGCGTCCGGGTCCCGTCGGGGTGCCAGAGGGGTATCCAAAAGCCAATTGCGGACCCGGATGTTCGGGAGTTTGAGGGTCCGCAGTGCCCGCGGGATGTCGTCGGGCCAGCGCACCTGGAGCCACGTGGAGCCGTGCCGAATTTGCAGGCTGAAGGGGAATCCCCAACGGTAGGGGATCCCCTTGTCTCGCAGAGTGGTCGTGAGGGGCCGGAGGGCGCGTCTGGCATCTAACGTGAGGCCGGAGAGGTCCTGGTAGAGGGACACCTCCGAGCCCCTGAACTGCAGGCTCGTCATGCCCCGGGTCGCCGCCATCAGCTTCTCCTTGGTGCTGTAAGTGTGTAGGCAGCAAAGTACGTCACGGGGCCTTCCATCCTGGCGTTGGGGCCCTAGCGCCCTGTGGACGCGGTCAAACTGGATTTCTTTGGGGCCCTCCTGGCCCAGGATCTGTCGGAAGAGGGCCCTCAGGGTGTCTGGCAGTGGGGTGGTGTCCGGCTCCGGTAGGCCTCGGATCCGAATGTTCTGCCGCCGGCTCCTGTTCTCCAGGTCTTCCACCTGGCGTCGCAGGGAGAGCAGCATGTTCCCCTGTCGTGTGGTGGCCAGTTCTGCGGCCCGGTGCTGTGTGCGGCAAGCCTGCGCCTCGGTCTCCAGGGCCTCCACCCTCACTTCAACCGCCGACAAGTCCGTCCGCAGTGCAGTGATCTCCTCCCGGATCGCCGTCTTGAGTTCTTGCAGGAGACCGCCGGAGTCCGCCTTGGTAAGCATGTGGGTGGAGATCATGGCCAGCTCCTGTTTGATCTGGGCCAGCGTGTCATCTGGGATGGAGTCGCCCATGCTGTCCTGGCTCGGGGATCCGGGCGCCATTTTGTCTGGCGGCCCGAAGCTGCCCGGTGTGCTCTGGGTGCTAACGTAGTCGTCCATAGTGCCTGTGTGGCGGCGTGGGGAGCCCCCCAGAGCTTGTGTCCTCTTATTTCGGACCATGTTGGGCCGTTTAGAGCCCTTAATTATTGCTGTTTTGTGGCCAGGGGATGAGGAGCTCGGGCTCTACACGTCCTGTCGCATGCTCGGCTCAGCCACGCCCCTCAGGAGTGTTCTACATTTATGTTTATAATTTCACTTAATGTAGAAGTGTTATCATTCTTTTTAACAATTGATCGCAACAATATCCAATTTTGGATTCCCTCTCAAAATACACCGGACTAGATGTCCAGTTATTCTCACTCTGACAAAATCCATTTGTCCCTGGTTTGTGTGCTGGGGAGAGCGGAGCTCAAGGAGATTGAGACTATATTCATGTCTGTTCGGGCTTCCTGATTCCCCCTCACAAAACACCCAGAATGTACATACGATCGGGACTCGGAGGGTCAACTTCATACCTGAATCCTAGTAATGTTACCCGATCACAGGTCATAGTTGCCTACATCATACACATTAACCCACCTTCCACCTTCTAAGGTGGAGGAGATCCATGAGATGGAGCCTTTGACTGCTGCCCTTAATGGCAGGTCCAATAAACACATCCTCACATGGGCTGCATGGCTGGTTTACATCGCCAGCTCATACTCATCATCCTGATGGCCTTACATAGGCTCAGTTCCCCCATACAGACCACCATAAATACTACAGATTGGCACCACCCCCTACAGTGGTCAGGGACACAGAATGAACAATGCATACCATCAATGCTGCCGTCTATTCTGTCCCTACCCCCTCTTTTTTTCTCTCCCCCTCACCCTTCTGTCTTTCTCTTCATTCTCTCACCCCCACTTTCTTCACCCTAAGTCGACCCCCCCCACCCCCGACTAGACCTCACTTTAAGCTTTCTCCCACGCAACACACTCAGGATACAACTACACAGGTGCATGACACAGCTATACTTCCCCACTAAACATGATGGGCTATAAAGTCCTCCGGGTTTCATGTTCACGCACAATGCATTTTCGCCTTAAAAGCTACCTCACCACCCACTAGTGTTATAGGATTAGATGGAATAACAGCCACTTACAAATAAAGATTGTCAAGAGAGGAGGAGGGGGGATGATGGGGAGTTTGTACGCTGGATCCAGGTATGGGACGTGAGGAAGACGAGGGGGCTTGGTGAAATGCTTCCCATAATATTGCAATCCATGTTACACCTATAATGCTCACTAAAGTTTGACTTACTGTTACTGTCTAATTGAAGGGTGTGGATTCTGAAAAGATTTCTTAATTTACCATATACAATTGTACTTTGTTATATTTGTTGAAAAAAAGAAAACATATACAAAATACAAGATTGTAAAAAAAAACCCTGTCCCATTCTTTAAATCCCTGCCCCCCTTCTACAAAAAAAACTCTGCTCACCCCATTTAAAAAAAAAAACTTTGACCTTTCACAAGCCCCTGCTCCCTGTTCTACAAACCCCCTGCCCCTCCCCATTTTTCAAAACCCCTGCCCTCCCCTTTACAAAACCCAATCTATTTAAAAGTACAATAAGCAGACTACTCACATTTAAACAAGGATCAAGCACCCAAGCACCTGCTGCTCCCCGGACCCAGCTGACAGTCAGATGCCAACTCCGGCACCAACCGCACTTTTAGTGCAGAGGCCCGTGTCAGAGCCCTCAGTTAGAGCGGATCCTTCCACGACTGTGGGAAACATCATGAAGGCAAAACATGTTGTTGTTGCATCACAACATGAGGTTGCACGCCCCCACACTCCAGTCCCCCTACACATTATTAAATAGTGCTGCCCAGCTGAGGCCCTCTTAAATAATTCACGTTATTTGACTTGCGCCTGCACACATTTTGCATTACTTGGTGCGGCCTGTGAGTGACTGACTGCAAGCTGTGTTGGCCGCCCACTGCCCCTTTTGTCATGGCGCGCTGTATGGAGAGAGAAAGACAAAGAGAGAAATACAGAGAGAGAGACAGGGAGATAGAGAGAAAGAGAAAAAGAGAAAAAGAGAGACAGAGATAAAGACAAAGAGAGAGAGACAGAGAAAGAGAGACAGAGATAAAGACAAAGAAAGAGAGGCAGAGACAGAGAGAGACAGACAGAAAGACAGAGACAGAAAAACAGAGACAGGAAGACACAAAGAGAGAAAGAGAGAGAGAGAGACAGAGAGAGAGAGTGAAAGACAGAGAGAGAGAAAGACTGAGAGAGAGAGACTGAGAGCGAGAAAGATAGAGAGACAGACAGACAGAGAGTGAGTTAAAAAACAGAGAGAGAAAGACAGAGAGAGAGAGAAAGACTGAGAGAGAAAGACAGAGAGAGAGAAAGAGAGAGACAGAGACAGAGAGAGTGAGAGACAGAGAAAAAGACATAGAAAGAAAGAGAAAGAGATAAAGACACAGAGAGAGAGAGTGATAGACAGACAAAGAAAGAGAAATACAGAGAGAGAGAAAGAGAGAGACAGAGACAGAGAGAGTGAGAGACAGAGAAAAAGACATAGAAAGAAAGAGAAAGAGATAAAGACACAGAGAGAGAGAGTGATAGACAGACAAAGAAAGAGAAATACAGAGAGAGAGAAAGAGAGAGATACATAGCAGCCCATCCCATGTGTTCCTTATTAAGGGTTAATAATATATTGGGGTGTATATAAAAAATACCCCTTTCTGTCTCATTAGAGATCTTTGCCAGAAGCTCAAGGAAGCAAGGTGAATGGTTAGAGTTAGGGGGGGGGTCTTCCTTGACTTTGGTAGGTGGGCTTATCCTCTCATGGCCATTGGAGGTAACTAAAAAACCTCCATTTGTTTAAAAATACATAGGGATTAAGGAGAGAGCGCAGGTAACTTGTTTTCTTTGGTCTTTACTATATATTGGGGCTGATGTGCACTGTAGTCATTGCTGCCGCCCAGTGATGGGAGTGAGCGCAGGACTTATCTTTCTGCATTCATATCTTGAATATGCTGTGCAATTTTGGGCACCAGTTCTAAAGACAGATATTATGGCACTGGAGAGGGTGCAGAGGCGGGCTACAAGATTAATAAAAGGAATGGAACACATCAGCTAAAAATAAAGGTTAACAAATTTAAACCTCTTTGGTTTAGAAAAACATCGTCTCAGAGGGGATATGATAACATTATACAAATATATCCGGGGCCAATACAAGCCACTGTGTGGAAATCTATTCACAAACCAGACTTTAAATAGGACACGAAGTCATGCGCTTAGACTGGAAGAAAGAAGATTTCGTCTAAGGCAAAGAAAATTATTTTTTTACTGTAAGAACAATAAGGATGTGGAATTCTCTGTCTGAAGAAGTGTTTTTATCAGAGTCCATACAGATGTTCAAGCAGCTACATGCATACTTGCAAAAGCAGAATATTCAAGGGTATAGTTTTTCAATGTAGGGTAATAGCTTCTTGATCCAAGGATTAATCTGACTGCCATTCTGGGGTCAAGATGGATTTGCTTTCCTAGTTTGTTGCAAAATTGGAAGTGCTTCAAACTGTTTTTTTTTTTGCCTTCCTTTGGATCAACAGCAAAAAACAAATGAGAGATAGGCTGAACTTGATGGATGCAAGTCTCTTTTCATCTATGTAACTATGTAAGACAGAGAGAGAGAGAGACACCCTCTGCATGGAGACACTGAACTTTCCTCATAGAGATGCATTGATTCAATGTATCTCTATGAGGAGATGCTGATTGGTCAGGGCTGTGTGACTTGTGCTGGCTCTGCCCATGATCTGGCTTCTTGACAGTCTCCTATGGGAAATCATTGTGATTGGCTCAGATAATCATTTCTGATGTCAGCCAAGCAGGTAGATCAGGGGCAGAGGCAGAAGCTGCAGACTTGAATACAAGTACAATTTTACTATATTAGGGAGGCAAGGGGGAGGGGGGGAGAGCAGATGGTGGTTTAAACTCTATAGTGCCAGGAATACAGGTTTGTCTTCCTTTAATGAATGGTCAAAACAGAAAAGCAGTGTCACAGTCGGTACATGGTCGTATCTGACTCTCAAAACCTGTGAAGAAAAAGATGACCATCACATCCAGGGATATTAAAAAATAAGTTTTAAAAAAATCACACATGACATTTCAGCCATGTTGACCTTTATCATGTATATCAGTGGTTTTTCAACCTTTTTTCACTTGAGTACTCCATGACAGCCAATTTCCATAAATTGTACTCCTTATAGTAGCGAAATGTTTGCAATTACTAGAATTGCTGTTATTTCAAATGTATACAGTTTTCTCTGCCCGTCTCCCCTTTTTCTCTACCATAGACACCCCTGCTTTTCCTCTGCTCCAGTTTTATGTATGTAACTGTGCATCTGCATGTGTGTCAGTGTTTGTATATGTGTCTGTGTATCTACATGTGTGTCAGAGTGTGTCTGTATGTCTGTATCTGTGTGTTATTGTTTGTATCTGTGCATTTGCGTGGTGGAAGTGTTTGTATCTGAGTGTATGTATATCTATGTGTGTCAGTGTTTGTATCTGTGTATCCACATGCGTGGCAATGTTTGTACATCTGCCAGTGTTTGTATCTCTGTGTTTTGTGTATGTCTGTATTTGTATAAGTCAATGTTTCTATCTGTGTGTCTGTACATCCACATAGGTGTCTCTATATCTGTGTGTATCTGCAATCTGCACATGTCTGTGCGTCTGCATGAGTGTCAGTATGTGACTGAATGTGTCAGTGTGTGTATCTGCAATCTGCACTGTATAATATATACATACACATATTATAAAGTGCAGATTTCAGATACACACTGACACACATTCAGATACACAGACACACACACTGCCACACATGCAGATGTGCTTGCACACATATACAAACATTGCCACACATGCAAACACACATACACAAACAATAACACACACATACATAGTGACACATACATAGATACATAGTGACACACTCACTGCCACACATGTAGATACACTGCCACACATGTAGATACACGGCCACACAGATACAAACACTGACACAC